CCACATTCTGCCTCCCTGCTTTGTCCCATAGATGGCCTTGTCCAACTGGCAAACAAGATTGCGAGGACCCTGATGGAATCCCTCCGGCTAATGCATGTAGACCTTGACATCCATGACTCCATTCAGGAATGCATGGGAAATGTCAATGGAGCGCAAATGGAGGTTGTGGATGGCTGCAATGGCAAGGACAACTCTGATGGATGATATGCGGACAGTAGGTGCAAATATTTCGAGGAAATCAAAGCCAGGGCGCTGGTTATAACCTTTGGCCACATATCTGGCCTTGTAGCGCTCAACAGTGCCATCTGAGTTGCGCTTGATCTTGAAGACCCACTTGCCACCAATAGCCTTGACTCCAGGAGGTAGTTCCACTAGTGACCAAGTACCATTGCACTCATGAGCTTGAAGCTCTTCCATGGCTGCCTCTCTCCATTTATCTGCATCAGGACGCTTCATTGCATCTGCAAACGACCTAGGCTCAGCAGAGTCTCCAAAGTGTGCCACTTCATCATCAACTGCCTCAGAATCACTGTCATCACTCTCAATGGCAGGAGTAGGTTGTCTGTGTTGAAGCCACCATGGTCTAGGTGGTCTCCTAGCCCTTACAGGGCGTCTCAGTGCAATAGGCAAGTCAGGAGAAGGTGAGCGATGAGGAGGGTGATTTGGAAGCTCAGGAGGTTGATTCACAGGTGGTTTTGCATCAAGGTCCAAATGAGGCCCATTGTCAGGCAATGGCTGAGGCTGCTGAAGCGCAGCTGGTGGGCCCATATCTCCCCCTGGACCTGGTGCAGGGACATCCTCAATCAGGCCCAATGGCATGGATAGTGAAGGTGGAGTGGGAGGTGGAGGCGGGACATTGTTAGAAGGCCTCTTCAAGCCAGGGAAGTAGCGCTCATCAAAATCAGCTCTCTCAGAGATAACAGTGCACTTGGTGGTAGGATTGTAGAATTTCCATCCCTTGTACCCCTCAGGGTAACCAATGAACACACATTTCTCCATATGAGAGCCAAAAACGCCTCTTTTGTCCTTTTGCACATGCACATAGGCAGTGCAGCCCCAAACGCGAAGGTGAGACATGTCAGGCTTATGTCCATACCACAACTCAAATGGAGTGGCATGGGCCACTGCATCAGTGGGACATCTGTTCCAGACATGCACCAAAGCGGACAGACATTCACCCCAGAAGCTGTTAGGCAATGCAGACTCTGATAACATGGCAGTGATACGCTCAGTCAGAAGTCTGTTTGCTCGCTCTGCCACACCATTCTGCTGAGGACGATTCCTGGTGGTATGCTGTCTGACAATCCCATGGTCATCTGTGAATTGCTCAAATTCCTTGGACATGTACTCTCCCCCTTTGTCATCGCGCAGAGCCTTGATTTTACGCTCCAATTGAGTCTCAACATAAGCCTTGAATCTCTTGAAAGCATCAAAGACATCTGACTTGGCCTTGAGAGGCACAACAACACGGAATCGACTGTGATCGTCAATGAAGGTGACCCAGTAGCGATAACCAGAGAATGTGGGGGAAGAGACTTGGTGTACATCAGAATGGATGAGGTCCAAAGGATGAGCAGAGCGAGTATCAGATGAGGGGAATGGATTGGCATGCATCTTGCCAGACAAGCACGGTTCACAGACAGGATCAGGAGCAGCCTTGGATTCCAGTGTAAGCCCAGTGACCAGATCTCTCTGTATCAGTCTCTTGACATCAGCATGATGGTGGTGAGCCAATCTGCGATGCCAGAGCATCAAATCAAGTGGCATAGTCGCAGTAAAATGTCCCAATCCAACACAAGCAGCAGTAGATCCATCAAGGAATGCTGCATTGTTGTCATTGATAGTTGCAGTGAACAAGAGAGTGTTGTCACGCATAAAGGACATGGAATGAGACGAAATAGTGACATTGAAACCACTTTGACGAGTTAAATACAAGACTGAGAGGAGATTATTTCGAAGATCTGGTACATGGAGCACTCTAGAGAATTCCACAGCCCTAGCCACTTTGCCATTCATCACAGGATTAAACACCACAGTACCAACACCAGCTGAATAGACAACAGTGTGATCAGCCAGCTTGATTGGCACACGATATGGGGTATAGTGGTGCATCCAATGACGATGAGGTGTCATATGAGAAGTGGCACCTGTGTCTGCATTCCAATCAATGTCAGCATCAAGTTGGAGAGGGCAATGAGGATCAGAGGGATAAATGGAACGAAGACTTGCATTCCCAGCTGATTCAGTGACCACAGTAGATGAATTGGCATTGTTGGGCGAAGATTTGGGCTGCTGAGAGGTATTCTGAGAGTTGCTGGAGCCTGCCTGAGCCTTATTGCCACGCTTGTAGTGATTCTTAGCACCCTCCACTGCCTGTTGGCGACTAGCAATGTATCTGTGGCATTTGTCTTGGGTATAACCAAGTAAACCACAGAAATCACACTGAATGCGAGTAGAGGTGGTGGATTGGTTGCAATGATGGCAGTTAGGATGGGTGCAGGTGCTATTGGCAGTGGTAGACGAAGAACGCAAGGCAGAATCGACTTCAGCACGACGACGGCGATTGACCTCTTCAGCAAGGAAAGCATCCCTGAGCTGGGTCTTGTCCAAGGTGCCCAGAAGTAGTAGAGATGAAGTGAAGTGGGCATATTGATCAGGAAGCGCCCTAATCATGGCCATGCATGTCAATTCATCGTCCAATTCAGACAATGAGAAGCCAGTAGGACAAAGATTTTGAATCTGATGCATGCCTTTGTCAATTCTGGTCATGAGAGACTGCAGGGACTCGTCCTCCTTCTTTCTGATAGAGAAGAAGTCGTCATAGGCATTAAATCTCGTCCCAGGCTTCTTAGAGACGTGCACAATTGCCAGTTTCTCCCAGATCTTGACAGGATCATCAATGATGCCATCAAGATGGATGCGCTGCTCTTTGGTGACATTGAGGTATAATGCACCAGCAGCCTTTCCAGCTCTCAACTCCCATTTCTCTATTGCTTCAGTGTCAGTCCCAGGACACTTTTCAGCGCCAGAGACGAGCCTCCATAGTCCCTTGGTCATCAACCAAGCTTGCATTTCACCACTCCACTGGGGGTAGTTAGTGCCAGACAAGGGATGGAACTTGGGATCAGAGTCAGACATGATGGGTGTTGTATAAGACAATTGAGCAATGATAAATGATGTAGGAGACGGCTATAGGCGATGGAATAGTGGCAAAGACAATGGGCAACAGTAGGAGGCGAGCAGATAAGATGGTGAGGCAGTAGAGAGAGGATATGGAGAGGGTCAGAAAGTGCAAGGATAGGTCCAAATAGGGTCCAAAAAGCGTCCAAAAGCGATCCAGGAGGGTGCTAAGGCTTCCTAGTGCTGCTACAGGGTTACACCTGTGTTCCCCTTTCAATTTCACACTGATATTAACAGAGAAATCGCCTCGAGACAGTGTTGGTTAATAGGGCTTGTATATGAGTCAACAAAGTGACTTAAGCTCCCCAAACACCGCAGACTGAGAGAGGCTCTAGGCAACAGCAAACTGAGGCAATGCAGGCGAGCTTCACAGTCTATAGGCTTGTTCTATCTGATAATGGACAGAGTAGAGAAGATTGGAGCTTTATGCACACACCAGATATGCCAAAAAGCGAAAAATAGGGCAAAAAGTCGAAATTGATGCAGAGACAGATAAGATGGATGGATTGCCACCAAATCAGAGGTATAGGGAACATTTTTATAGAGTAATAGATGGCCCAAATATCACAAGAAGTGAAGCACAGGATGTGGAGATATGCAATAGGGGTCCAATAGGGGTGAAAGTGCCAAAAATGCGAACTTCACAGAGGATGATGGAGTGGATGGATTGCCACCAAATTGAGGGTGTAAAGTGCAATAGTATAGGGTAGTAGATGGCTCAAATAGGGCCAAGATCCGAGCACAAGATGTGGAGATATGGAATAGGGGGCCAAAAGGTGATCAAATGATGATGAAGGCTCACAGAAAGATCCAGCTCAAATCCAACCGCTCTGACAGGTCTTCTAGGGTTATTTAGGCCGTAGAAGACGATGGTAGAAGTTACAGGACGATCAGATAAGGATTGGGCGAGATATGGTGCAGATAAGACCAAAAAAAGCGTCCAAAATGGGGGTAACTTGCAACAAGGAGTTGTTGTTGGAGATCAAGATGAGATCAGAGTAATCTGAGGTGATGGATGAGGTAATAAGAGTCCCAGAAGACGATGGTTACGATGGATAAGCAGTAGGACGCTTGGATGGTGAGATATAAGGTCAGGAAGATGGCTAGAGCACAGGGCTCATAACCTATTAAGAACAAAGCTTGAAGGAAGTGTCTAGCCACTTGCTGAGAGCAATCAGGGACTGGAACTAGAGTCCAATGTGAGTAACTATATTATTAGAGAGTATGACAGGTATACAGTACCTAGAGTCCAATGTGAGTAACTAGAGAATAGGAAGCATTGGACTCTGCAGTACTGTCCGAAGTTTTGTAAACAAAGGTAAACAAAGCAGCCACAAAGGCGAAATAATAGAAAACACAATCAATAGTGAATGATAGAAGAATAGATAGAGAAAGGAATGAAAATATATAGGTAGCACAAAGGTGCAGAATCACCAAAACTAACATGGCGCACAACTCAGACAAGCAAAAAGGAATACCAATCAACAGTATGTACCGTTGACTGGTCAGAGAGTAATGAAAGGGATCACCCCTTAGGTTTCAACAAGTTAGTTGTGAGGATACAACAGGAGGACTCACTGAGGAGTCTCCTTGATCTATTGGGGTATATATACTACTACAGGTTTGTTTGTACATATGTTGTATACAGTTGATGAAGGCAGTGGCTGATGATGTCAGAGGGTGCAGCCCGTGTGACCAGCTCCACTGCGTGAGAGACTTGTATCTAAAATAGAAAAAAAGGCAGCGCAGCGCAAGAAAGTGGAGTTTGAACAAAAGGGAAAGTGCCGCATGGCACGGAGTGTGAAAACTACAGTAGAAGGTTAAAGAGGAGAATGAAAATCAAAGGTCCGAAAATGTGTTATCGTAACAGCGTATGTCCAGGTTCCTGCCTTATTGAGCCTCGCCAACTCTTCCTGGATAGCTTGATCCCATTTATCCCAATCTGGACGTTTGCGGGCTTCTTCAACAGTCCTTGGCTCCACACCATGAAGGTCTGCCATACGTGCCACCATGGCTATGTTTTGGGCCAGATCTCTTAGTGTTTCATCATCTCGCTCTTCCTCATCACTTCTATTCAGATTGTCAATAGTTACTTGGATGCCTCTGGGCAAAGTGGGTGCTTGGTTATTTCCAGATATTGATCCTTTCCCTTGTAGGAGATCATGAACATATTGAGTTGGCTGATGAATGCAGGTGCTTTGATGTGGAGCAGCTATAGGTGGGGGTGGAGGAGCTGGGGCCGCTTGGATGGGGTCAGGATCAGCTTCATCTTGATCCTGAGGGTAGATTTGGTTATTAATATCCTGGGGATCAGGTGGATCAGGATGAGGTGTATGATCATCAATTTCTACAATCTGACTCTTCTTTGGCGCTTGTTTCAGGGCATCATACTCCCCCTCAAGCCCAAAGGGAGGTCCGTTGTCAGCATTCAAAGATACGTTCTCAACATCAAAATGCACTGAGCACTCAACGGTGACTGAATGCTTCCCTGGCCAGTAGATGCGGCACTTCAGGCAACCACTTTGGGGGGGCTCTTAGCTTGATCATCTTCACCAAAAGGATGGGGCTAAGAGCCCTCAATACCTTGGTCTCTAGAGGTGTTTAGGGTATTGGTCCATAGTTTAGGTCTATATAGTGGGGACTAAAACCAATTAAGGATAATACCTTGGTCCTTAAAACTGATAGGGGATTGGTCCATAGTTTATGGCCATGTACTAGGGTCTAAAATATATCAGTATAATACCTTGGTCTTTGGAGGTGAATGAGGGATAGGTCCATGGCCTGTAATTGATTATGGGATAATACCCTTATCCGAAAATACTCACAAGTGGTGAAAAAAAATGATGAGATGACATTATTTATAGAAGTGTAGATGCAGGTCTAGAATTAACATACTTAGGACTCTTGATGAACATATGTATAATACAAGAATTATCATAAATGATAGATGTGTCTTGAGCAAAATATGATTGTAAATTTGATGAGAAATAGAACTTGAAGATTAGATGTGTTTATATGTTAAAGGACAATAGGTGAAATATAAAGAAGTATTCATATTTATTTTTCAAAAGGTCTTCACTTGTGTGTTTTTAGGAACAATAAAAAAAGTTGAACCTTGATGTAAATAAAATTGGATGGCTGATGGCCCTAGTAGAATGCAAGATTATATTATATATGATGTATTTTCTATGTGCTTTGTGTGTCAAACTGACATATTGCAGAATGCAAGGTAAACCTATACTATTTTTGGCTGTTGACACTATCCTAAATATGGCTGAGGTTATATCCCAGCCTGACTGTGGGTCTTATCACTTCATATGGCCAGGAGTCTTTATCCCACAATATTCTATAGGCCATGATCCAGATTGTGATTAAAACCCATTCAAGTGATTTGAGTAAGCTTTTTCTAAAGTTAGAGCAAGGCATTTATTACAGTCCTAATGTGCAACATTAGATATGCTGTGTTCATACTATATTTCAAGGACCTGTCCCATTGACCTATATAATCATTGTTTTTAACCTGTATCAAAGTTAATGAACAATATTAATGCATCATATGATTCATAAGCTACATTAATAACCTCCTGCCTCAGATAGGCCTTGTCACACAAGGTATTAACTCAAAGGTCTGGCTGATGGACATGTTGCAAAGGGTATTATTCTGTTAAACATAATAGAGCCTATCCTGGACTTTTGTTAAAGCCTTACTGCCAAGGGTGATCCCACTAAATATCATAGACCTTGCTCCCTGGGGTATGTATCATCCCACCATACTTGATGGGCCCTATTCCACATTTTAGCTAAAGGCCTCATCCCATACACTAGTTGTGGGCCTTGTTCCCCAGGGTATCATCCCATGATGTTTTATAGACCCTGTTCCACACCTTATTTAAAGGCCTGGTCCCTCATAGCATCATTTCACAAAACACAATGGAATCTATCTGGCATACTGGTTGTGGACCTTGTTCCCTAGATACCATCCCACAATGCTTCACAGGCCCTATGGGTATCATCCCACCATGCTTTATGGGCCCCATCCCAAATATTATCTCAAGGCCTTATCCCACCATGCTTAATGGGCCTTGTTGCCCAGGGTTCTATCCCACATCATATCTAAAGGCATTATACCCCAGGGCACCATCCCATCAAACACAATGGGCCTTGTGCCCCATGGTTCAGTCCTGCTATGTTTGACAGACTTTTTCCCACATATGGTTTCATGGCATTTGGTACCATGCCACTATACTTGATGGACCTTGTCGCCCTGGGCATCATCCCACTACTCAATATGGGTCATGTCCCAGCTAAAGGTTAATGGCCTTGTTCCAAGGGTATCATCAGACCACATCTTGTGTTAAGGCCATGTTTGCAATGGCACTATCCCACCATATATGATGGTCCTTTTCCCACACACCAGTTCACCAGGGTACCATACTACCATGCTCCATAGTCACATATGTCACATCTGACTTCTTATATTTATTGTATAGGGTATCATGAAACAATTAAAAGAGGCCTTACTCTCTGAGACACCATTGTGCCCCTTATAATGGCCCTATCCTATGTTTCATGTGAAGGCCTTGTCCCTCACGGCATTATCCCACAAAACACAATAGGCCTTGCATCCAAGGGTATTATCCCACCAGGCTTTAAAGGCTCTATCCTACATCTTATCTGAGCTTTGGTCTTGTCCTCTGGGGCATAATCCCAGAGTATGTTGTGGGATAAGGCCTATAAAGGATGGTGGGATGGTACCCTGGGGGACTAGGCCTTTGGATATGGTGTGGGATAAGGCCCACAAATGTGAGTGAGATGATACCCTGGGGGACAAGGCCTTCATATATTGTGTGGGTGGTGGGATGGTACCCCAGGGGACTAGACCTTCAGATATGGTGTGGGATAAGGCCCACAAAGGTGAGTGAGATGGTACTCTGGGGAACAAGGCCTTCAGATATACTGTGGGATAAGGCCCATAAATGTGTGTGGGAGGGTACCCCTGGGTGACAAGGCCTTCAGAAATAGTGTGGGATAAGGCCCACAAAGGATGGTGGGATGGTACCCCAGGAGCAAGGCCTTCAGATATAGTGTGGTGTGGGATAAGGCCCACAAATGTGAGTGGGATGGTATCCTGGGACAAGGCCTTCATATATGGTGTGGATGGTGGGATGGTACCCTGGGGGACTAGGCCTTTGAATATGGTGTGGGATAAGGCCCACAAATGTGAGTGAGATGATACCCTGGGGGACAAGGCCTTCAGATATAGTGTGGGATAAGGCCCATAAAGAATGGTGGGATGGTACCCTGGGAGACAAGGCTTTCAGATATGAATAAGGCCCACAAAGGATAGTGGGATAGTACCCCAGAGGGATATATGTGGGCCTTATTCCATATCATATCTAAAGGCCAGGATACCATCCCACCATACTTTATGGGCCTTATTCCATACCATATCTAAAGCACCCCAAGGGACAGGGCCTTTAGAAATATTGTGATAGGACTACAAAGGATAGTGGGGTAGTATCCCAGAGTGACATGTATGGGCCTTATCCTTTATCATACCTAAAGGCCCTGTCTCCCAGGGTACCATTCTCACCAGGTGTTATGGGCTTTATCTCACACTATATCCGAAGGCCTTGTCCCCCAGAGGTATCATCCCTCCATCCTCTATTAGCCTTATCCCATACACTATCTGAAGGCCTTGTCCCCCAGGGGTACCATCCCATCAGCCTTTGTGGGTTTTATCCTATATACTATCTGAAGGCCTTGTCCCCCAGGGTACCATCTCACTATCCTTTATAGGCCTTATCCCCCAGGATACCATCCCACCATCCTTTGTGGGCCTTATCCCATGGCACATCTGAAGGCCTTGTCCCCCAGGGTACCATCCCACCATCCTTGCCGGCCTTATCCCACACTATATATGAAGGCCTTGTCCCTCAGGGCATCATCTCATATGCTGGTAGTATCAGAACACAATGAGATCCGCACCCGTGTACAGTGATTCTGGACCTTCTGGGCATGCAACCAATCAGTATGCTTTCCAAGTACGCCTTGGTAGCTTAGTTGGTAAAGCACCAGACCATGAAAGCTGGAGTCCCAGGTTCAAGCCCTGGCCAATGCATGTTTTCTCATACTATAAACAAATGTCATAATTTGTCACCATTCACTCCTGAAGGTGTTGAATCACTCCTTGGAGGTGTTGGATGACTCCTTGGAGGTGTTGGATGACTCCTTGGAGGTGTTGTATGCCTTCCAGAAGCTGATCCAATGGACAGGCTGTCTAGCTGTATTCGGACTTTTTCCACATCAGCTAGCTGTATGTTAAGGGGCTGTCCTCCCACTGACTGTAACTCTAATTTGGCTTTCCGTTCTGAAGATGGCCAGTGTTCAGGTCTTGGTTGTAGAGACTGTTGTGGAGGGTGTCTTAGCTGATCAGGTGCTCCCACTGCTCTCGGAACGTCTCCACGGAGGTATTGCCCCACTGCTCTTGGAACATCTTCATGCTGATATGGTTCCATTGCTTGTGGAACATCTCCTTGAAGATGTGGTTCCATTTGCAATTCATTTGGATCTCGGATCCGAGGGTCAGGATCATCCTCCTCCAATGTTTTTTGGTCTGGATAGTGAGCATTCTCTGGAATGAGTCCCTCCCACTGATCTGTGCTAGTGTCTGTGTTCCAGGGAGCAGTGTCATCCTTTTGTACCTTTCTGGATTCATTGAATATGACATGCCGACTGGAAAACACAGTCCGTTTTTCAGTGTCTAGGAGTTTGTAGGCTTGCTTTCCATGTGTGTAGTCAATCATTATGGCTTTGCGCCCCTTGGAGTAAAACTTCCCTTGCCTTTTGTCTTTCGGAATCAAGGCATATGCTTGGCTTCCGAAAGGGCGAAACAAAGTTGGATCAACTCTCCTTTTAAACAGTATTTCATATGGGGTCTTTCCATGGAGTCCTGATGCTGGGCTGCGTGCTGTGATATATGCAGCTGTTTGCATGGCATCTACCCAAAATGACTTTGGGAGCTTGGAATCATGGAGCATAGTGGTTGCTAATGTAGCCAATGTCTGATTCATGCATTCTGCAATGCCATTTTGTTCCGGAGTATCTGCAGCTGTAGTTTCTTGGATGACACCATCTCCTCGGAGTTGATTTTTGAATGCATTGCCAGTATATTCTCCTCCCCCATCGCTCCGGAGGAATTCTGTGTATAGTGGAGTGAAGTTTTCTTCTCCCAAATGAGTCCGGAAGAATGTTTGGACATCTTCTTTCCATTGCTTGTATTGTTCTAGTGCTTCACTTTTATGTTTTAGGAAATATATCCATGGACATTTGGAGAAATCATCTACAATGATAATCCAGTACCAAAAACCCTCCCTGGAAGTTGGTTTGATTGGTCCTCCAACATCTGTGTGCACAATTTGTATGGGGCGCTTGACTCGGTTTCCTCCAGTGGACTTGAAAGTGTAAGGACCGTTTTACTATTTTCTTATCTTTGTTATGTCTTGGTTCTCAAACGCTTTTCCCGTTACACCTCTGGCTCTAGGGCTAGAGGTATCCTTTGCCATCTTACTTCTCATAGCCCTCACAGGCTTTCTTAACCATCGCTACCACTTTATATCACAGATCAGAGACTGGGCATCGCTCCCAGCCAGCCAGCACACTGGGTAGGGACTGGTAGTAGGCATCTCGCCAACCAGC